AGGCCGCGTTCAGCCGCGGTTGGTCGCAAAAGCCACCTGAGGTGGCTCGGGCGCCGTGCACCGTGCAGAGCCTGCCCCCCGCACCGCTTTGCTGTAGGCCGGGTCAAGGACGCTGTCCCGCCTGTCTGCAGGAAGAAGCACGGAGGCGAAAGCCATGAGCCGTGCTGCCTGGCTATTGCTTTAAAAATAACCAACCAAACAACAAACTCCTTTTTTTTGTAGAAAGCTTCATACCTTGGATCATACAGAAGTTACTGGGAAAAAGAGTTTCAAAGGATGGACAGATCCCAGTGTCAGGAGGGTTGGCAGAGATATGTCTTAAGACTTTTATTTAGCAGCCCAAAGCCTGCTGCAGAAATTGCCCGGTCAAACAAGCTACGCATTTTTACATACTCTTACAGCAATCAGTGAATCGATCATCTGTAGTAGCAGGCACCTAGATGTCTAGTTTTACTGAGGTACTGTTTCACTTCTTGTTTTAACCATTTTAGGTTCTAGTTGTATGGACTTAAGACAGATTGTTTTCTGGTTTTAGCTGATTTCCAGAAAACGACGTAAAGCCAGTAGTATGAAGCTTACTGTCCTTCCTGTACAGCCCAGGGTAATAGAGCAGCTATAGTCATGGCCAGGTTTAGTTCTGCATCATGTATATAGTTTCTTCCAAGAAGTGGGAGTGCTGGTCTAAATGCCAAAGTACGTTCATACAGGCCTATTAACAATCATACCTCCAGTGCTCAGTTGTCTAGGCAAGTCTGCATCAGCTAGAGTGTTATGCGTACGTAGTCTGGTTCTGAACTGGAGCCGTAAGAACTACATGGTTCCCAAAACACAACAATCGCTATGCAGACCTATACTTCTGAAAGCAGAAGCATTCTCTAGTGATGAACATCATCTCTGAAGTGCAACTGTGTTTGCACTCCTCTTCTAGGTACTATTGTAGAGGAACATTGACCCAGTAGGAGTAATCATCAATTGCTTTTTAAAGAAACAGTCAATTTTTGTACATGGAAGATTTAATGTAGAACTTGCCTGAAGCTCGCTTCAGCATTTTCAAGACTTCTGTAATACGCAGACCCTACAAAAACCTAATTGCTGTGATGAAGTACCTCCCTACACTCGTCACATACAGGGACACACTATCTGCCTTTTCAGTGTCTTTTTTTTTTTTCCCCCCCCCCTGCATCTCTCTCGTTATAAACTTTGCAGCATTACTGTCTAGTACGTAACATTCTCATGAGAGAAGATTCTATTTTTTAGATGCAAAGGTGCTTGTGGCTGCATGCGGGAGATGTGAAAGATTAATCAAATCAAATATTAAAAATTTTTACTGATAATGTAAAAACAACAATTGAAAGTATTTGCTTCAGGCAGACAGTGATACTGAGCATTGCTGCAGTTACTAACTTCCATCATCCACAAAAACTGCCTGTGCAGATTGTCATTGCAGTTTAACTTAGGTACTTGATGCGTGAAAACTGATCGCTCATCAGAAGCTCAAAGGGATCTGCCTGTCTTTTCAAGATACCGGTGCATCAGGGCTGTATTACTGTCCTCAGTAAGGAACAAAAAGCCTGGGTGATTTGTCCATGGTTGTACAGAATATCTGTGATGCACCCGGATTTTGCATCCAGGTCTCCTAAGTGAATAGCTCGGGAGCTTCATAGAACAACGTCTTGTAACAAAAATCCCGCCGGCTTTAATGCAGTAGTTATTACGTATTTGTGAAAGTAAGTCAGATACACCCCTGAACTGCTGTAACGGCTTCAGTTTTTCTATGAAACAGTAATTTGGTTGAAATCCAGTTTTGGCTTTGAGAGAGCTGTGAGGGGATGTTCATTGAAAACTCAACTGTGTGCATCTCATTTTTATGTATTTTTTTGCTAGCTTTTTATGGACTAAACCTGAATGAGCAATAGTTAAAATTGCACTGCATCTTCAAGATTTGTATTTAAAATAGTCTCCTATCTTATTTGTAACTTTAACTGTAGTGCAATTTCTGACTACTTTGGTTAGATAATTGTCCCAATGTCTATAGACTGTAATTGTTTTTTTGTTTCTCAGGGAACCCTCTTGAGCTTCATCATGGGAGCTGTAGTAGCTGATGATGGTCCATCTGGTGTTAAAGCCCCTGATGGAGGCTGGGGCTGGGCCGTCCTTTTTGGCTGCTTTATCATCACAGGATTCTCCTATGCCTTTCCTAAGGCAGTTAGTGTCTTCTTTAAAGAACTTATCCGGGAATTTGGCATTGGATATAGTGACACTGCGTGGATTTCCTCCATTCTGTTGGCCATGCTTTATGGAACAGGTAGGTAGTTCTCTGATTTTGAAACAGTATTGCATCATACAATGATGGTTGTGAACCATACAGCCATTTACAGCATGAATCATGATTGTGTATCATTGCTTGTATGCAAGTAAGGCGTTCCAAAGAAGAATAACTATTAATCACATCAATCCAGAAGTTATTTAAGCACATTCAGCTTGCATATAAAATTAAATCTCTGTAACTCAGTAGCTACTAAAGACGATGAAAAATTGCATGGCACTCTGAAGACAAAAAAAAGACTACGTACTTGACTATAGAGGAAAGAACACTCTACCAGATTGGCCTAGCAGTATGGACAAAGCGCAGAGAGACTCATAGAATCATTTAGCTTGGAAAAGACCTTCAAGATCATCGAGTCCAACTGTAAACCTAACACTGCCAAGTCCACCAAAGCAGAAATGCAAACTGACATAAAATCAATTTCAAAAGTTGGTTTATCTTAGCAGCTTTAACTTGTTGTTCTTTCCTAGGTCCACTCTGTAGTGTATGTGTCAATCGCTTTGGCTGTCGCCCTGTCATGCTGGTGGGTGGCCTTTTTGCTTCAATGGGGATGGTGATAGCCTCCTTCTGCACGAGCATTGTTCAGATCTATCTAACTGCTGGTGTGATTACTGGTAAGTAGTGTGCATGGTTGAAAAGAGTTAGCTAATGTCTCGGCCTTAGGTTGAAGTTTTGTATAAGTGACAAATATCTAAATAATCAGGATCATCCCAACGGGCTTTTATAAAGGTGGCAGACAAATGTGGAATTAATCGGTCATTTATTTTTTTATGGATGCTAGTTTTTCTGGTACGTTTAATGGCCACTGTCGTAATCAGTAAAGTGTAACCATAGAGCACAAGAATATTATGGAGATGGAATGCTTTTACGAATGTTAGCTTGGAATTCTTTTGTCCATTTGAAATAAAATGCTTTTCTCTTAAGTCATGAATCAGAAAAACTGTAATGAGAATTTTTAAAATAGTGATATTGTAGGCCAGTATTAATTTTTATGATGTACCCTGTTTCAGGTTTGGGTCTGGCCCTAAACTTTCAGCCTTCACTCATCATGTTAAACCGTTACTTTGACAAACGCCGGCCCTTAGCCAATGGGCTATCTGCTGCTGGGAGTCCAGTGTTTCTTTGTGCTCTCTCACCATTGGGGCAGATACTACAACACGAGTATGGTTGGAGAGGAGGATTCCTTATACTGGGTGGGATGCTGCTCAACTGCTGTGTATGTGGAGCATTAATGAGACCTTTGGAGCCACCCAAAAACTCTGAAGCTTCCAAAGAACCAGCTGAGAAGAAAGTGAAGAAAAAACTTCTGGATTTCAGCGTGTTTAAAGATGGTGGTTTTGTAATCTACACGCTAGCAGCATCTATCATGGTGCTTGGCCTCTTTGTTCCCCCAGTTTTTGTTGTGAGTTATGCCAAGGATTTAGGATATCAAGACACCAAAGCAGCTTTTCTTCTGACTATTCTAGGATTCATTGATATCTTTGCTCGGCCTATTTGTGGAATGGTAGCTGGTCTTAAATGGGTTAGACCACGCTGTGTCTACCTCTTCAGTTTTGCTATGATTTTCAATGGCTTTACAGATCTCATGGGTTCGATGTCTGCCGATTATGGTGGCCTGGTGGTCTTTTGCATTTTTTTTGGCATTTCTTATGGAATGGTAGGTGCTCTTCAGTTTGAAGTTCTCATGGCTATTGTTGGTACACAGAAGTTTTCCAGTGCTATTGGTTTAGTACTCCTGGCAGAAGCTATGGCTGTTCTAATTGGTCCACCATCAGCAGGTAAGTATTCCATTTAGTTCAGAATTAAAAGTAATTTGCATTGCATCCATTTGCACAAATTGTATGAGAAGGGAGCAGAGAAAAAGACAGCACGAGTCACCTGAGAAGCGCATACTGTACTAGTGTTGCACGTGCTTCAACGACTTTCTGCAGTTACAATCTGAAAGAGTCCAAGGCAGGGTAGGAGTTTTTCCTTTTCCTTCTTGGATCTCTTTCAGGATTGTTTGAACTGCCGTCTGGAGATGCTGCTCTTGCTCCACTAGTGGATGGCTAATACTGTATGAGACGAGTTTTACACACACAGTAAATAACTTTTGTACAGTTCAGGCCTCTTTGGAGTTGGGATTTAGAATATGAAACCTGTCCAATTTTCTTTGGAAAGTACTAGGATAGATTCTCTATACCTGTGATAGATTTGGAGGAGGAAAAAAAAAAAAGTCAGAAGGAGGAAAAAAAGAACTTACAAGGACTATAAAACTTGGCTGCTTTCAGACTGCTTCTATTTGCACATGTCTCACAATGCAAGAGTAAGGGGACACTACAAAATATTCAAATTAAAAATTCCAAATTAATTGTCAAAGAACATAAATTTTATAGACCATGAATTAAAAAAAAAAACACCCAACAAACAACCCACCAGCTAAACCCCACCAGTTCACTGCCATAAAATGTTTACTGTTTATACCAGACACTAGAAAACATCAAGTATCTTTATTGTGACAGAACCCCTCATGGAAAAAACTACTGTGTACTACTTCCCCTGATCTTCAGGTTTGGAGAGGCACTTCCTTCACATCCTCCCTCCTGTTCTTTCACCTCCACCAAGTCCTGTGAAAATTTAACTTGACTAAAGCATCAGAATCAGTCAATTACTCCAGACCGACTATTAAATAAGATTTGCATTTTAAGCAGACAGTGCACTGCCAGTGTAGGAAAGGAAATGAGCTTGGGAGCAAGAGGAAGCTGATGATACAGATGCCAGCCATGGCTGCACACATTTTGATCTGAAATACGTGGCACTTATCTCTTGCATATGAAGACTAGGCTGGTTTTATTCCAGTTGAATTTTGTGACTCTCTCCAGACAGGGGAGTACGTGTTTCAGGATGTGATGTAAAGTCAGTGAATGTTACAACTGAATTGAAATAATTGAGAAATACTTTGTCATAAACTTGTTAAAATGCTATTTCAAAAAACTTTCATCATGGTACCTCTAGACAGGAGTAATTTAAATGTTTTAAAAAGGCAGAAGAAAATTTCATCGCAAGATAATCACTTCTGTTAATTACCTGGAATGTTGTCTTTTTTCAGGAAAACTCTTGGATGCAACAGGGAGGTACATGTTTGTTTTTATTATTGCTGGAATTGAAGTTACCACCTCAGCACTCGTACTGGCCTTGGGAAATTTCTTCTGCATTAAGAAAAAATCAGAAGAACCACATACGAAAGAAGAGGCAGCAGAAAGAGAGGAATTAAACAAATCTGAAGACAAAACTCCTGAAGATGCCAAGGTGGACTCTATTGAAGTGGAGCAGTTTCTGAAAGATGAGCCTGAAAAAAATGGCGAAGTTGTAACTAACCCAGAAACATGTGTGTGAGCGTAACAGGAAACCCACAAAGCATTTAGGAAAGAAAGATTTTCAACACTATTTATTTTAGAATAGAACTAGTTTAGGGCTGGGCCATCTGCTTTATTAACTGGAGGCCAGTCGGCTCATCAGGTCTCTCTGGAAGCTGATTAGCTAGACAACCTTTTATCGGAAAATCTGCTTTATCAGTAAAAGGTGGAGCATTGTGGTTGTACTTTTTATGTAAACTAAAAAGCTTTTATAAACGCAAGTAGAATCTTGCTATGCATCACCAGAAACTGCTCACTTGGAAGAGATATAGGAAGAATATATTTTAAGAAAAGTGGAATTATGTGTATCTTTTCAGACAATACTGGTGAAATCGCTGTGTTGTGTGGTTAAATAAAATTTCCCTTTCTGTGTTCTTTGTGAAGGGGAAAGTTTGAGATGGAGAAAAATCTCAGGAACTTAAAGGTCTCCATTAGGTTTTTGAATTTCTTACTTTTTTAGATTTTTAGATGAACTGGCTCAGCCCTGATTTAATTTTGATAATATCTGTTACTTTGATTTATGTAAATGTATTTCTGAGTTTTGTCTAAACCTGTAATCTTTGTAATTATCATCTGGAAATACTGTACGTGGAAAGGCACATTACAGATACTGTCCTCAGCAGATCACACAAGTGGTATTCCAAGGTAGTACTAAAAGAAAATAAAATTAGCAGAATCGATCCTGACAGACAGTAAGCGAAGAAAGTTAGCCTACCATTACATACACAGTTTTCAGTATGGTTTCCCTGCAGCATTGAAAAAAATTACAAGTAACATGGAGAAGATGGGTATTAGGCTTAGTACAATCTTCTGAAAGAGT